ATTCGCCCTGTCCTCGTAGAGTGGGTAAACCGGTCCCACGGGCCACTGTCGTACCACCTTGTGCAGGTGCTGACCGGGCACGGCTGCTTCGGTCACTACCTGCACAAGGTGGCTAGGGGGGAACCGTCCCCGTCGTGCCACGAGTGCGGCGCTGCGGATGACACCGCGCAGCACACCCTAGAGGTGTGTAGCCGGTGGGATGAGCAGCGCCGCACTCTGACGGGGACTATAGGGCCTCTCGTTGCCGAGCGTGGTTGCCGCCATGCTCGATAGCGAGAAGTCCTGGGAGGCGGTGGCCTCCTTTTGCACAGAGGTTATGTCGCAAAAGGAGGCCGCGGAGCGGGTGCGCGAGGACGCGGTGGACGCGCACCCGCTCCGGCGCAGACGTACGGGGAGAAGGCGAAGGCAATTCGCTGCTCGCCTGATCCCCTAGTGAGACCAGCGGGCTCTGGACAGGGACTCCGGAGCCTGCATTGCACGACCTCACTCGTCTGGGGGGCGGGTCGGAGGACAACCGACTCGTCCCTCCGTTGGTTCGGGAGCCCTGGCGCAAGCTAGGGCGGCCGGGCGGCGTCGTGGTGAATGTTCACTGATCCCACGGCGCCGACTCAACCGGCGAGAGGGAAACCCGGGGGGGTTTTAGTGGGGTAGGCCTTCCAGTGTGGAGGGAGAGTCCCCATATAACCCCTGAGTCTCCCTGGGCTCCATCCATAAAGATTTCCCCCCGTCAAAAAAAAAAAAGGCCTAAAGAGCTCGTTCATTATTTGTTTGCAAATCACAATTTTGTGAACTATAGCTGCAAGCAAGCTACCAAGAACCTTCGCTCAAAATATACGTAGGTAGTCTATCGCCAACAGTTGATTTAGTTTGTATTTTCAGATTAAGGAATCTGAGTGAAGCATTACCACCTCAGATAATTAATTAATAAACTAAGTCATAGTTTTATTATATACATCATTATTTATTTTTATTAAATTTCTCTATGTTTAACCACGGTGATATTCAAATGCGTATTCTTTGTGAAATAACTCCACTAGTTTGTTATAATTATTAATACATATTATATTTTTATGTTTATATTGGAATATTTTTGTCGTATTAGTTCAACTGCAGTCTGGTAAGTAGAGCTACTACTTATATCATGTTCCCAACATACTATAGAATACTCTACTAGTTAGCATAACATATTCCTGATATTTTATCTCAATTTTCCTCCAACCGCTTATTGTTGAGTTTTATAAATCGGCAAATTTTAAAACAAGTAACAAAAATATTTCCGAAATTACCAAGCAAATTATTTCCCATATAAATTCGTGCACCACAAAGGATATATTAAATTAATCTATTTTAGAAGAAAGAAAAAACAAAACTATTTTATGTTCCTCAAGTTTATTTACAATATTTAAGCTCTTTTTAAAAATTTGCTACTCATCCAAAACATAAGCAACGTACATACAAATCTATCTAAATTATTAATATTTATTATTATAAGGGTGGCTTCAATTAGGGGCTGCATAACTCTTCATCACTACGATACCAGAAAAACCACTTAAGTCACCAGAAAACACAATTCGGAGTTAAGGTCAATAGTATCAAAGAACTGGAGGATTTTCCTGGCTTCTAGTGTTTTAATCTCCTTGTTCAAGACATGTGGCTTCCCAAAATCAAGTATTATGTACCTACCAAGAGGTAGCAAATCATTACCAACTAAAACTTAAACAAATTTCACAATGGCAGTTTTTACATATTTTTGTAGGTGCCTTAGAAGCAACAAATTAAACAGTAGATTATCTTATAATACCTTATTTATATACTTATACATACTCCTACGGTACCTCTCCGATTTCGTTATTACAGATGTAAGTAATTTGTAAGTGATTTCAAACAGTATTTGAATAAATTCATAAAAGTAACATAGTTCTCATCAGACATGTACAGCATATTTCATATAGGGTGTAACAAAAAGTTACAATAATGCTTAAATTCGGTGTATTCATTAACTAAACTTTTTCTACGATTTTTTTTATTCAAACAATATCTTGTGCTCTCATACAAAATGACGAACAATTAATTAATTTAACTCGTATATTATACCATTTCTGGTATATGCCATGTGTCTATTATACGTTTTTGTCAAGGAAGTGAATAAATAATTTATCTATCAATCTGTCTATAGAAGAACTTAACTTACTTGTATTCATGAATATAATAAGACCCTTAAGAATTATTTGAAGCTTTTGTATACTTACAACTTACAGCCCACACTACTGTATAACGTAACATAATAAATGTAACTTAAATAAGTAGACAATATAAATAATTATAAGTATAAACATAAGTTCACATTTAAAAAATTCACATCAATAGATAAAAATTATGATTTATCAGTTAACCCTACCATTACTATAAATGTGACTCTAGGATCTATTAGGCGTGTCTAAAATTTTTGTTTTTTTTATTACATCTTTTTTGTGCAATAGTATTTCTTAAGCTGTACAAATTAAAATCTTAAACATATCACAATCTGAAGAATTTCTCTGTCATTTTAGTTTTATTACGAACATGTAATAACCTTTTACCGATTCAATTACGTGGTCACTTACGTACGAGTACCATTGCACTGGTCTATACATCAATTTGAAGAAGATTTTCCCTTGTATGTAATATGATAATCTTCTTCAAATTAAAAAATTTAAATATACCTTACTATAACAAATTACTTTTTAGAAAAACAGTTTTAGTGTAACACAATTAATGCTGCTGCCCCAATAATAATGTCCATACCGGATTTGTGCGAGGGAATATTGGAAAATTACTTTCTTGTTGTCTGTTGTATGCGTGGGTACGATTACCTGCTGAAATATCATCGAATATTCTTTGTACAAACACACAATTTTATTTTCGACTACAAAGTAAACATTTTTGAGAAATTGTTTTTTTTTTATGTACAGTCAACAGCACATCAAGCTACACATTGACGTATTTGTATATATTTTGTGTTGTTCCGTTGCACTGGAGGCGATTTTCGAACAAAAATGTGTAGTCTGATGTGCTGTTGTCCGTACCAAATAACGGGAATCGGTCCATATCAGTTGCAGTGCCACTCAGAGCTTTAAATCTCAAAGATTTGAGGGGCACTGCCACCGCGCCCGTCACTCTGAGACAATGATACTATACTCTTCTCACTGCCCTGAGACAGTCAAAGTCAAAGTCAAAGATTATTTATTCCATAGGTAAAATAAATTTACACTTGAAAACGTCACATTTAAGCTACTACTCGTTCACTACGCTGACTTCCCTGAGAAGAACGAGCAAGAAACTCTAAATTCAAATTCAATTTCAAATTCAAATTGTTTATTTGCTTCAAACATGGTATAAAAGTTATAGCAAAAAAAAAAAAGGAAAACCAGTACAAACATGTTTCGCATATCCGATAGCATGCAAATGTCTTATAATTGGGATTGCTCGTTTCAAATAAACTTAAATGCTATGGAATACACTTTGAATCATAATTGTGTAGATTCTGGAGCCGTGTCGTCTTTCCATACATCTTTATCTAACACGTTGTCTTCAATTTTGTAATAGTGATATTATACACTCTGAGACATAAGTTAACAAGTCCCATGTACCTGTAATTTCATCAGCACCCTTCAAGACCGGAACGCAGTAATGCTCCCATTACTGCCTTCCATAATTGACATCATTAGTCATCACTATAGAAGTTCTATTTCTTTTGAAAAAAATACGTTTATTTTATTATTACTGACATAGAGGTCACAAAAAAATTCCTTCGATCAGACTGAACCAGTGCATGTTGCTACGCCGGGGCCACAGCTCTTAACCAGCTGAGAATGGCCCAATATTCACAAAAAATATATGAAAATCATGGTAGTGAAACATCATTATATTCAATGTACATATAAACATTACATTCGTTTTATTTTAGTTCGTTTTTTATATTACTAAAATTTATTGCGGTAGTTTCCAAAAATTTTTAACTTTTTTAATTTCATCACTTTTTAATGAGGGTCCAATTTGTTCTTTTCGGAAGGATTAACTATAAAGATTGGTAAAAAGTACGTTCCAAATTTTACGAGATGACTCTTTCAATGGTCCTGGCCGATTGTAGTAAAGGAAACCTTCTTGAATTTTTTCTTCTTCCTTTACAAAACGAAATCAATTGTTCACATAATGTGTACTGTAAGCAATTTTTTTTTTTCGCGAAATGGGTATGGGTTCTTTAAGTAAATTATCCAGCATTATGAGAACAATCACACCATTCAATTCCATAAGAACTTTTTTAAGCAACCTATATAAACAAGAACTCTTAATACTCATAAACTATGTGCTATTCAAATAATGAAGTAAAAGTACATTAAATTGTCGTTGAGGAATCAGCTACTAGCTGTATTAGTTTTGGTAAAACACATTCTCGACACAACTCAACAACATAAGTACAATTTATTATTACATTCTGTATTTACAAAACACAACTAAAGAACACGAAAGTTTTAAAATACACAACGTACAAAAGTAGCAACAATTTATAAATTATTATAATAATTATAAATACAATATATATTCAAGAAAACTTATAATGATATCTATATAAAAAATAATATATTCAGTATCCCGACGTTTGTTCACATTTACCAGATAATCTATTTTGATAAAAATTCACGAATACGAATAGAAATTGAAAGCCAAATTTTTTGTTATATCATCTGTTCAATAAAAGTAGCATTTTTCCAAGAAATATTAGACAACAACTAAACAAATTTTATAATTTTCAAGATTTTAGAGTTATCACATTATATCCCTGAGTGGCCCAATTTTTCAATCCAGTTATGCGCATCATGATCAAGAACCGAAAAATAAAAACACGTTAATTATGTTAATACCTAGATCTTTTCGTTTTAAAAATATGATATCAATTTTAATTTTATAATAAAATGTTCAATTAACCTTACCAAATTTTCATTAAGAAAAAGTGTGTCACAGGTTTAAAAAATCAAATAGGTACTTCATATTTCTTTACATTTCTAGATTTACAAAAATATCTTATACAACATCGGTTCGACAGCATGAATAAATATTTTTTCCACGTTTTGTTAATGCAACGTTTTAATCACTACCTTTCTCTTACAAACTGTATAACGAGTGTAGGTTACAGTTGAAAATCACACAAATATCTCATCCAATAACTGCTTATCGATCAACCTGTGCGGTTTAGGTATAGATGTTTTCTTTCTTCGTCTATACAATCGGGAGTTAAGCGAGTATAGCGAAGGTGACAGTGCACATCGCACGTTGAACCACCAGTCACATGAAGCGACCACTTGGGAGAAGACTGTACCGTTAGGACAAAGGAATGATGCTTGTCGGCCGTCGATATCGCAGTAGTGCCAGGCTGGAATACGAAAATAAATATCAATTTAGCAATCCATATATTTATTCGTCATCATAGTCAGAAACATAATAAACCACAGTGGTGAACATTTATGAATTTCTAGGGCGTAGATTAAATTCCAGAATAAACTTTTTTCCCTGTACAGTTCGTGGTTATATTTTAGAAATGTACATGATTCTAGTATTCCATACATACTAGAATCATGTACTTGGGAACGTTGGCTCTTTTAACCGTTTAAAGAATAATCGACAGCTGTCAGTAGATCTAAGGGCGCGTTCCTATTATGTCGTAACGTTTTATTTATCGTTGGACGACAGTCGCGTCTAGCCTGTTCCCTTATCATGACTATCTGTCGTGACTATGTTGTACACGTTTACTTTATCGTTGAACGACTGTTGTGTCTAACTGTTCCCATTAGATCGTGACGACAATTTATCGGTTTACGGCAGGCACCTTGTCGTTTGCACGACAGAATCGTTTGAAGGTGCTATTACCTGCCGTCACATTTTCAGACGACAGTCGTTCTAGCTCTTCCTATTGTCACGACAGTTTGTCGTCAAAAAAATTCGTGAATGACTGTTAATCGTGTTGTATTATATGTGAACAACTTCATTTAATGAATAAATAATATAATGATAACGCGCCCTAAGGCCGCGAATAAGTAAATCGTACACATCTTTTAAGCTCGTAGAACAATTTCCCTATACGAAGCGTTTCCCCAGAAAATCACTTAAAACCATGGTATGCCAACATTACAGTATGGCAGTTTTTAGTTTTGGAAAGTCTGTAAAGAGCAAACAAGAATTTATACAGTTTATTACATACGTGTATAGAGTGACTCTCCCAAGACATTATTGCGATTTATAGCCCTCTATAACAATAAGCTAATATTAGAGTAACTAATTGTATTTTAAAAGAATAATTAAATAATTTCACAATTCTACACCTCACATAACACATACACATACACTCGATCACAAGTAGGTACACCGACAAATTTAATGAAAATTACCACTACTGGTAGAAATGAAGAAACCTATTAAAATAATATATCTTGACCTTTCAAAAATGAAGAAAAATTTCACTTGGCAATCTAGATTTGACATCTCTAGCTTAAAGATAATCAAATACTTTTAACACTTTTGATTTTGTTTAAAACAGGTACTCATTTTCAATTTAGGCATGCATACTCGAGTTACTATTGTTTTCATGCATATCAATTGCTCGATATGCTCTTGACTGTACACTACAGAATAAATACATTTAATAGGTACGCGTTTGCTAATTACAAAATTTAAAATGTTGTTAATTGAGAATGTTAAAAATACCACAAACGTACTAAATATTTTGTATTATATCTTCTTTTTTCCCCGATTATAGTTCACCTAGGAATGAAATCAAGTACAAACTGATGCCAAAACATTTTTACACCCTCCTATAGCACTTCGAAGTTATTCTAATATTCAAATTTATGTATTTGCACTGCTATTTCAAATTAAGGAATCTCGGAATTTCCGCTCGAATGCCTTTAATATTGCATTATCGACTGCAATCGTATTGTAACTTAATGCAAATTAACCAAGTGTCATCATGCTACAGGTTTCCACCGCAACGAAATGCTACTTAATCACTTAATAAACTGCTTACCTAATTAAGACGTGTCTTAACTGGAAATCCACTAGGCAATGACCATTTTTTATTTAATCAACACAAACATAAAAGTAGATAGTATCCTATGTAATTTAAAAAAATATATGGTATATTCCTCCTAATAGCTTATTAATAGCTGAACTTATTATGTATTGCGTTAAAACATAAAATCATTCTGACCTCAGATGTCTTTGTGATATACTGTATGTTAATATACGTTTCAGAAAACACCTACTAAAAACCAAAAAGTAAAATTTGGACTTAGGTAATTAAGACCCTTGGCAATATTGATCAAGCGAGAGTCATTTCAAAAGTTCGAAGTCTTGACTCCAGTATCGTCAATCTATATTCGGTAAAAAAGTGATACTGTTGGATTCCTCGAGTCCTCGATTACATTTCAGAAGTAGGTTTGTGGTCTGAAACCTCGAAACTCCGCCATCCTGAACGCGTTTACCATACTAGTAACTACTACCGTACTACCGTAGAATTTTAAAGAATCAATGCCTTCTTCTGAAACCATCTTATGTCAAAAATCAATATACAGTATCGCGATTTTGTCTCAAACTTTTTAACCTTTTACGATTAAATATGTTAAAGGACGTATTGTGTTAAGTCTCACTTAAATTCCATTCCGGATCTCACGTTTACGTCTTAACATTACGTTCCGGGTCAGTTTTTGTTATAATTAATCGGCCTCAAAAGCTATAAGGTCAGGCTAATCGTCATATATGGGCAAGGCCTTAGCCCAATATGGCCACCATTTGTTTGTATATCAGTTTTCATACAGTGAAGTCATGACTTACGCCTACGATCAATGTTTGAATGTGATTTTGTAATAGTTTGTTTTAGACATTGATGAATCGCGTGCAGTTCGTCATACAATTACTTTAGTCACAGTAAGATTTCGGTTCTGGACTAATTAGCAATCCACTGTTCCTTGTAATTAGCGGTTCAATGTTCTTTATAATAAAAATTAATCTGTAGATTTACTTCATAAAACGAACGAATGAAACATTCTTTATTGCACATCAAGATAACAATGGTCCAACAGAACAATAACTATAAAATAATCAAACGCACAATAGGCCAGTATATTGCTAAATAGCAATCTCTTCCAAACAACATTAAGTACTCTAGATTCTAGTCTAGAGTACCGTAGCATATCGAAATTCACACCTATAATTTTGGGTATCATGTATAAATTAAACTTGTAATGATGCATTTATAGTTATCGCTTTTTAAGCCATTACATAATTAATTTATTGTACATTCTGCTTCGATATTACAAGTGAACCATTGTGTGTGATAATTCATGGCCCACTCCCACGGTATAATTAAATCATTCTTATTCATTAACTTATTAACAATTCGGAAGCAGCAATAATATGTAAAAATCAACCGTTACAATGCATTTTATCGAGGCCTTTGCCATAAACATCAGTGTGAATTCGCAAAGTGGTTTTTGCATTGTTTGGAGAGCAAAATCTTTTATTGATGGACAAAATCGATCAGTATCAAAGTTTTTTTTTAATTGCCGACATTTGCCCCCGTAGCATGGCTACGGATGATAGTCGCGACACGCGCGATAAAATTGGAATAAGCGTGCGCTATTGGCTATCTCAATCAGATCTAATTTAGATAGCCAATAGCGCGCGCTTATTTCAATTTTATCGCGCGACTCTCATGCGTAGCCATGCTACGGAGGCTGGTTGGGTTGTTTGATTATTTTGTGTTTTAGTAATAGAGCTAAATCACTAAAATCAGTTTATGAAGTAAGTGCCCATACATTTTAATAGGACGAGTGGCTGTTCGAAGGTTTGTTATATCATTTAATTTCCATTAGCAGATATTTAACAAAACGATCGAATTTAGTTTAGATTGTTTAATAATTTTACAATTTGCTTTCATAGTTTTTTTTTTCAATGTCACAACTCAGTATCAATTATTGCACCTTCTAGGGCTCGTTAGTCAAACTAGGAAATCTTAAAATTTCATCCAATGTCTTTATATTGCAACCTTATTACTGGAACTTTTATACACACATTGGCATGACATTTCTTGTAAAAGACTTTATTAATGATCGGTCTACAGGAATGAAAGGAAAAAAACAAAATTTGGAGACCATACAACGCAAAGGTACAAAAAAATCCAATTATCATTATTTCTTATGAAATGCAACAAATTGCTTTATGTGACTCTTGTATTAAATTCTTCAGTCTCAAAATGTCGTTCTTATTGCGTACTAAATTAATTTTAAATAAAATATAATTGTAATGGTTACGGAGCTCTATCATGGGTGTACCCGGCACGCTTTGATCTGTATTTTTTTAGAAACATTTGCCTAATCAAAGACTGAGATGTGATTGCAGAATAGAAAGGCATCAAAATCAGAACGTGGAGTTACGTCAGGGTCTTCATATATGATTTTTTTACTTCTATTTATTTTATTAATTAAAGGAATACCTTGGCACCGTGTCTCGGTATCAGCGAAGAATCCTGGGTAAGGTTGCTCGTCGCAATAGAAATTGGTGTAGGGGACTGTACCCAGCACAGGATAATCCGTACCCGGCTTGCCTGGAATACAAATAAAGAAACAGTTGCTATTACAGCTTTGTAAAGGTCTTTTAGATGGATAACACAATAGGTGCATAATAGAGATACGGGTGCCAGCGCGGTGCCCGTGTGTGCGACTCACGAAAAATTATAGGAAATAAAACCAAAGCACCACGGAGCTGCGCTTGTGTGATTTTTGCCTGTAAGCCGGATAAGATCGGCAGAATGTTATTGCAAACTGTCATATTTTTACCAATATTCTAAATTTCCCTAATATTCAGTTGCCGAAAATCCATTACGTGAAAGCATATTTTTCCTACTAACATATAGTAAATAATACATATATAGTATAAGCAGATAAACATAGTACATTTAATAAAATGACAACAATTTGAAGAAAAAACATGACAACAGCAAAAAATACTGCTGTAAAAAAAAATTAAGCACGTAGAGTCTGTCGTTGATGTCTTCTGTATAAAAACATCTCGTATTAATGCTACGAAGTTACGAAGTCACATTATAATGTTTTTTTCTAAGTAACAAAAAATCGAACACGATGAGTTTGGACTTGTCTCATACTCACTAGGTATATTATAATTGAATTAGTAAACCTTAACGCATTATTGCACAGAGTTGGTTGTCGCTAGCAGCTGCATCGAATATTGGAACAACTTTCTATGACAAATTGTGACACACCCTAGCGTTATATGTAGAACTAAAATTTGAAAATTTTTGTATAGAAATATTTTATGCAACTAGAAGTTTTAGTAACATTAGAACTCATTGTGAAAGAGTTCTTCCAGGGAAGTACTACCACCTTGCCAATTTCTGACGCCAAGCAGTAATAGTAGCATTAATACGTTTCGGTTTTGAAAGGTTAAGAGTGTTGCTGAAATAACCGGCACATGGAACTTGTCTACCTATGTCGCAGGGTGACACGCGCGCAGTGGCTGTGCCCCTCAGATCTTTGCGATTGAAAGCTCTGAGTGGCGCTGGCTATGGACAGACGTAGCGCTTAACACCAGGCGCACGACTTGTTCGTCCCTTCACTTTGTATCATAAAAAAAACTTGGATCAACATCCTGAAATCATAGTAGAGGTAAACCTATAGGTCTAGCCATCTAATGATACCAATTTATATAAAAAAAAATTTAAAAAAAATTTAGTTTAGGCATCGCTATTGCACTATTAGGCACTAAGATTAAAATGTTTAATTTTACCATGATTATTTTATATAATTTAGATTTTTTTTTTGTTTTGTTTATTACTGTTTATTTTAATATTTTATCTTCAATTACATTGTTTTCATTATAATTGTATTAGATTAAGTAATATTGAAATAAATTTATCTTTATATAACGGAATTTCATATCGAGTCGCTAAACACGCATTCATTGTAGATCTACCAAATGATATTTTCATGTGGACAAATAAAAAACTTTTACTGTCGTCCTAAACTTTATACCTGCACTAGGGTTTTACAACCGCAAGCATAACTTAGTATCTCTGTATTCCCACCACAAAAAGACCACGCCTGGTGAACGGCCCGATATTTGTATGATATATCACTTACGAGACCATAAAGTAATCATAAGCTACATGAACATGCAATTAAGTTAAACATAGTTATTGTACTTATAATAAATACTGAACATTTGCGTAGAAAACGTAAACCATGATGGCTATTCCAACTATAAATTCTAGTATTATGAATAGCAACTGTAAAACAGTTATTATGTATGTATGTAAACTCTTTATTGTACAACAAAACAAACTACGTATTTTACCGAAGAATTTAAAATTAAAATAAAAAAATATTGTGATAACATTTAAAAGTGCGTTATTATTTGTATTGTGTAGCGAGCCTCCTTATTAGCTGCCACCGCACCATCATGGCGGCGAGCAGCACAGCTATACATTCAACATAATCCTCCAAGACATCTCCATAAAATCAGGTATCAAAAAAACCCTCTTGACCAAGGTCAAGAAGTTGATAACCGCGGGACCCATCAGTGTCAAGATACTGATGGGTCCCGCGGGACAGTATCTATCTCGCTTTCTACAATTGGATATTTCGTTTTATTTATGGATTAGGTAATTTGACAAGTATTAAAAATGAAATGCTTTTGCAAAACGAGTAAATAAACTAGAAATTTGTTGAAAAACAAAATAGTAACAGACATACAAACAAAATAGTGACAGACAAAATCTTCGAAGCAGCACTTATTGCTTGTGACGTCACAACCTTGATCGTGCTATATAAGTAATCATTTTACCAGAAATGGACGGAGCATCATCTCCACTAAAAAAGAACGCAAAACTCAGAAATTGATTATTTGACACATAATAATAATAATAATAATAACGCACACTCTCAATATGGCCCCGCACCATGGAAACCCTGTGTCGCGGGTTCCATGGACATACACATAGACAACCACAAATTACACCCAAACTCACGACAGAAATAAATGTAGGCCATACAATAATGAAATAAAATTAAATATTTCTCCCGGCCCGGGAATCGAACCTGGGACCTATGCGTAGCAGTCCTGCATTGTAACCGTTCGGCCACAGAGGCAGTTAATATAATAAAAAAAACTAATTTAAGATTGATTTAATATGTTAATTTTTGGTAATTGAAGCCATAGCATTTTTTATGATTTCAATTTACTGGAGTATTATAAGCATTTGGAAAGAAAATAACTAAATATCTAGTTCGAAGGCGTGGTAAAACAATGTTATAAGCTACTATTTTTATAACTAACAGCTATTTCATCTTATGTAGCAAGCTTTTAATTGTCTATTGATAAACCAGGTGAGAACATAATTCTACAGCCTCCGCAAATCATAAATTTTATTCGATCTATATCTCCGGGCTAAGAAAGATGTACGACAATTAAATTTAAACTTGATTTAGCTCTTGTATTGCATTGTGCAATCAAAAAAATCTCAAGTCCTGAAAGCATATTTTTACAATAAGCTCTTCGAAATATCCTAGATTAGTTGCAATGAAGAGATTGTGTATCGTTAAATGACCACCTAAGCTTTTATGTGGTCTGTGACCTAAGCGCAGCACGACCGGCCATAATGGCATCCCGGTAGTTATAAAGATAACGAAAGTTCGCCTGCAAAGCTCACTTTCACTAAGACTTGAGACTACTATTGGTTCTCGAATGGGTTAGTCAAATAACATCAACTATTCTCAATAACAAATGCTAATTCATTATAGGATATATTAGTTACTTAAAAATATCCAGAATAGCAGTAAATCCAAAATTCTTCACTGGGAAATATTGCTAGCCATCTCCTATTCATTCTGTTGCATTCCGGTTAGGGAGGGTAAGAGTGCTGGTGAAATTACAGGCACATTGGACTTGTCAACTTATGTCTCAGGGTGACGGTATCAGTGGCATTTCCCCTAAGATCTTTGCGACTTAAAGCTCTGAGTGTCACTGCAACTGTTTTGGATAGGCGTGTCGCTTACCACCAGGCGCACTTGACTTGTCAACTCCGTCACTTGGTATTATTAAAAAAAGTCTACAATCATATCTATGTACTTGTAAACTATATACGATGTAATTGCAGAATGCGGTTTTCGACGACGAACCGTACGGCGAATGAAAAAGTCATAAGAATTTCGTTAATTTTCCTTTCCCGAATACTTTTTAATCTCTGTCGACAATAAATGGTGAAGCATTACTCCGACTCGAGGACCTCTAGCTCCCTGTTGACTTAGAACATAGAACAATAGACAAATTACGTCAAGTGTCGGAGGTTGGCCATTGCCCAAGCTCTTTGCGTTCCTGTCGCCATAAGCCTGCAATAAATCTTAAACGTAGCTTGGCGATAATTGAACGTCAAATAATTCGATAGAAAAGAAATCAAGAATATATTCTAAATATTTGTAAGTTAATGTGGAAAATACAAAAGAGTCATTACGTTTAAAAATAATTTTACTATATATGAAGGGTCTACGTAACTTATTTCTTTAACATCTGAACATTTTCTTATTGAATTTAATAAACTGAGACTTGCGTTAAGGTACTGGAAAGTTGCCGATTAAAGTATATTTAAAAGTGCAAGGAAACTGTTTCGAAATTGTGTAACGCGAGTTTTATTTGAGATGGCAGTGGAGCAATAGCAACTTTTAAAACCGTTGTTAGAATGACGACGAACTCTCTTTACACTCAATAGTCATAGAGTCAAAGGAAAGTGTGATCGGCAACTTGCGTAAGTGCCGATCTTAGTACCTACACCTTACGTAAATCCCAATTAGGTTAAGTACATACTGTGTAAATATTTGCATAGGTTTAAAGGTTCCATTAAAATTACTTTTAAAACCAATGTAATTAAAATCAACTAAATATTGTACATTACTAAAAACACTTTTATGTCCGATATTAGATATCACATAACTAATAACAAATGATAGTTTACATAAATGTGTATATTTTACGTAAACTCTATTCCTGATTACTTTGTATAATAATATGCTGCAGTAATGTCGAGCCCTTCACGTGTTGCATGAGGTAAATTATCCGTAGTAGTGTTCTAGAAAACCAGGACTGGCCGAGCTAATGACACACAATGTATGTAAGTATGTAGTAAGTGTTTGAAATCTCCTTAATACTGTGGAGATGTTGTAAGATGTAACAAATCTAATCGCAATATACCTCGAGTTTTAAGCCATGATGAATGACTGCAAGCTTATCTTTTGAAATGGATACAAAGCAGTGCAATCTACTGTAGGATGAAGATTATATTATGATGTCTATACCATTGTATACAATGTTATGTGTTTCGAATTGTTTGATCAATCTCTATGACAGAGCGTAGGAACTGAAGTCAGAAGATTCTAACTGTAACCATCCTGTAGAGATGAAATGATCACACTATGAGCCCACTTATACACAAAACACTTCCGCCAATACTTCAAAGACATCTTACGCTACAAAAAGATAAAAGTGCAGAAAACCTAATCGCAATCATATTATATTTCGACACGGAAGCACCTTTAA